CGCGTTTCATCTGAAGAAAAATGCTGCTGAAGCCACTGAAATGATTTGTGCTGCATATGGAGAGAACGCTGTAAGTCATGCAACATGCAAAAGGTGGTATCAAAAGTTTCGCCAAGGAGATTTCAGTCTTAAAGATGAATCGCGTGCTGGACGCCCTGAAAAGATTGAAACGGACGAATTGCAAGCACTGCTGGATATAAACTCTGCGCAAACTGAAAAGGAGCTTGCAGAACAGCTTGGCGTTACGCAGCAAGCCATTTCCGTACGATTACATACGATGGGAAAGGGAATTTTACAAAAAAAAGCTCAGAACTTTTTTGTACACCTAATATATATAATACAATGTAAATTTTATATATTACATATCCAATATTGCAAACTGCATGTCAAATGTAATTTTTAGTTTTCATATCTTAACAGGGGAGAATAATAATATCACAAATATAAATTGACAAGCAATTTAAATAATATTGATATTGATAGGTACCTTAGAAAAACCTTAATAATTTGACACTGATAAACATTTTTAAATATGTAAAGTAATTTTATTGTAAAAATATTACTTCAGCCGAGATCTGAACGTGGGTCTCCCATATTTTGTGCGGACATCTTCATTATTCGACCACCGAGGTTTCGGCAATATTCTTCGTAATATCCAAAATATATAGTAAGTAAGCATAAGGCTGCGTGTATAAATCAAATTTTCTTAATATTTCTATATAATATTATTATAAAACAAAAATCTCTCAAACAATCAATCAAAATGGGGAAACTCATTGTACTCTTTTGTTTTGCGCTTATCTCAATAACTTTAATCGTGGCACAGAATGCCTGCAAAAAACCCGGAACGATAGTAAGTATCGTTGTATAATATTATATTTAAAATTGAAATAAGTGTACATAGATCTGAATCTTTTTCTCTAATTTACATATTTGTTTTGTTAAAAAATTGAATTAATATTACTTAATAGTATATTTTTAAATAATAAATTTTCTATGTAGTTTATACAGATGACATAAAAAGTTATACAAATTCCCAGAAGTATAATTAATGTAAGAAATGTAAATGCGGCAAGATTTAATTGATTTAATTGTTATTTATATTTTTTATATTTATACATATATATATTTTTTTTTACGTTAATCTGATGTATTAAGTGTATTCTTCTTTACTCCGAGTTACTCACAATTAAACGGAAAAAGAAAGTGAAAGATTTATTTCCATATATAAATATTATATTTTGAATATTTTAAGTAAGTATAACAAGATTTAAGTGTTAATTAGTAAAATTTTATGAGTATGTAAATAATATAGATTGGTTCCAAAAAATATTGAATTAAATAATTTAAGTTATATGAAAAATATCGTGTAAGATTATAATCACACGTAATTTTTTCCAGTGCGGACGTAATGATATCTGTTGCGAAACCGAAGAGGAAGTTTATATATGCAATCCATGGATTCATCATTGCATCGGTGCGGGAATATAGAGTGATAAGAGTAACTGGGAGGATTCGGAAGTTCAGGAGGCTCGGAAGTAGAATGGCAACGAAAATCTGTTCCATAATCATAAATAATAGTTAGATCTGGATTTTGTTGCACAGAACCATGATTTAATCTTGCACTTAATTAAAGAATATTTAAGAATTCATATAATAATTAGAAATATACATTTGCTTAATCATTATGCAAAATGATTCTTGCTATTCTTTGTGTGACTAAGAACCCTTTTTTATTATCAACCAAATTGAAATCTACTTGTAGTAGCAAAAATAATTTGTTTTATAATATATCCCAAATAGCCAACGGTAATAATTCGTTAAAATCAAAAGGCGGCATTATTAGAAATTTATTACAAATTATAGTACTTTAAAAATATTAATCTTAATTTTTTTTAATAAGAAATATATCAAGATACAATAGCTAATTTATATATTTTGGTAGTCTCGTATGTTTAGAAATTTGTTAAAAAATCTTTTTTGTTGATATAATTTATAAACAAAGTAATTGTTTAATAACAAAATAAATAATAACATTTTATTTTGTAACAAAACAGTTTATACAATCGTGTTTTATAATTTTATTATTATATTATGTAATTTAATCGTACATATATAATAAATGTATCAAACATGTGTGAAACATTCTAATGTTGTCAACGAAATGCAAAATACGGAACTGTAATTATACAATATGAACCTTTTATGATTATGACTAATAATCAAATTAAAAAGATAAGAATGTAACTTTGTAAACTGTCCAAACATATTGTTTCATATATACAGTAAAAAGAACACAACTTTATAATAGCCTGCCAAAATAGATATCTCTTTTCATATAGCAGACAAGCAGTACATAAATATATTTCCGATACTTTCCCAGTATTTTATTTTTTATTTTGTTGTACCAGGAGAGCACAATAGGTTTGCGATCCGCAGACGTCGAAATCGGAGCAAATTGAGTCTCACACGGTTTTTAAGAAATAAATATTAGAATAAATTATTAGTAATAAAGTCTTTTATTTCACTTTTATCTTTTGTTTAAATATTTTCCTACGCGTTACACAGATGTTTGACGAACGGACTTCTTGTGATTTCAGACTCTTGTGAATCCAAACTATGAACGAACTCTGAATCAGTGCTCCAATCCGGTTATATCCTGCTCTTATTTTCGTATCCTTACTGACGAAGCACCTTCCGTCAACTTTTTCGGTATCCAAGATCGCACGGTAATATCATGTGTCGATCGAACATGATGTTTAATTAAATTTCTGATTTTATTTTATTATCATGTCGCGCAAGCACGGCGTTTGTGACAATTTTTACAAGTGCAATATAAAGTGCGGCATAAATATTCTTTAAAGACCAAAGATTGAACAATTGTTACATCGATCTGCATGACCAATTTCCAGAAAAATATAAGTTCTTATATTTATCTAATTTAAAAAAATAAAAGTTGAAAGTCCAAATTTATAATAAACTATTTATACAAACACTTAAATTATAAAAGATATATTCACGTGAAATTATTATGACAATTTCTATAAAAATATTATTACACATTAGGGAAGAGTTGTTAAATGCGTACCGCATTGTCTGAATCATCATATCTCATTAATATTTTATATTTCTACTTATATTTTTATTTATATAAGCAACATTTAATGATAAAAATATAAAAATATCAAATAAATAAGAAATAAGTAGTACAAACATAAATTTAACACATCTTATTTACACAAAACAAGTACAAACTCTAAAGTAATGGTTTAATCACAATTCAAAGACATTTTCTCTTCCAACTTAAGTAGTGGTTATTTAATTCTCTTTCAAAATATTATACAAAACATTATCACAAAATTGCGTTCTCTTGCTTAATTTAAGTGTTAAGTTTTATCCAAATTCCTGTCAAATTCTACTTCCAATACTTGTGTGTAATCTGAAATTAAATGAAATTTATTAGATAATATTGTATGACTTTCACATAATTTATGGCAAACTATGACATTTCTTACCTCTTAGTGAATATAGTTTGACAATAAATTTTTCAATACTTCTGTTACTTTCTCCATTATTCGTATCCTATCTGTCTCATTTACACTTTGTAGTTCTACATTTTTTGCCAATTTTGTAGCAGCTTAGCCATTTCTGTCATTGCAATCTATGTAGCAATCTATGATTTGCTACAATTTTATTTAAAAATCATTTTTTTTTATTATAAACATCCATAATTAAAGTACTATAAAAAAGGCGTTTTGTAATGTACGAAAATTGAAAATAGAATTTTTTTATTTTCGTACAATATTATATAACATTATTCATACCCTTACTACATCTTCTCGAAAGGAGCGATAAATCAATATTGCGAGTAGTAATCGGTAGATCCAATGGTTTGAAAGTAGGAAGTATGTATGGAGTCTCTTTCTTCGTTTGCTTCTCCAAGTCTATAGAAACAATAGTACTTTCAACAGTCCGATGGGTTTCACTCGAATGAGTTGAATCGGCATTTTGTAAATTTTGTCGCACGGGGATGTTTTCGTTATCAGATGTATTTCCATGAAATACTAAGTCGTGATCGTCATATTGGCCCATGTCAGTATCCAAAAAATCAACTATAAATAAAAAATGTATTACAATTAATGTAAATATAAATAATGTATTAATTATTTATTTCGAAAGACTACAAATATGGTATATATGCAAGTACATATATAGTAGTATATATATAATAATTCAAGATTGAATTATTTTAAGCATTAAAAGATCCAGCTTCGACCGTTATAGGCGAATTTAATTTCTAGCATTGATTGTGTTCTCACATATGCGGTCTAAAATACAGTTTCTTAATATTGGATATAATCAATAATTATTTTTAAATTAATACAATAAAGATAACTTTATGGAGTGTTTAATATGTTTATTGTCTATTTCAATAATAATTTATAATATAATAAAAATGATTACCTTCATTTCTATTTAAAGTATGTATTTGAAGCGGATCTTCTTGCACGTTTTCTTGTGGAAGGATATTGCAAACATTTGTTACTCGCGAGGTATCTACCAATTTCCACAAAACAGTTCATTTGTAAAGACTATAAATATAGAAAAAAGCATATGTTATATATTAGTCAATTATATTTCATTTACACAGCTCGATTTATGCCGACAAACAATTATAACATTCAATGTTATAACTACTGACGTTAAATGCCGTGTAAACGCTATTTTACGACAAAGTTGTTACATCGATATAGTAACTTTGTGATAAAATAGTGTTTCCATAGCACAATTAATTTGCGGGAAGTCCTGAGGATATTCTTGGGATGAAGGATGTCTTCTGAATGTCTAGGACGTCCGTGGGAAATTGTGCTATATGAGTTTACACTGCATCTAATATCAATAGTTATAACATCATATGTTATAATTTCGGCATAAATTGGACCGTGTAAACATAGTCATTACATAGATAAATGTAGACTTTATAATAGCCTGTCTCATTATACTGATAATCGGTATGACCCAATTCTGCAGGTTGTTTGAATTTTGTTTCCTGTTATCGCCTTAGCCTTTCTCAAATCGCGTGCTTTTACAAAAGTACGACTTTAATTTCTCTCCAAACCTAAATATATAGAATTATTTTTCATTTTATTTTTGAAACATTAGTATGAAAATCACCTGATATATTAAAACAATATAAGAAAGGCTATATATAATCACAGTAGATGTTGGTACTTAATATTTTTGCATGAATCTCTTATGATTTCTAGTTCAAACACACTGATGAAATGCTGGATATTTTGTGCCTTGAAACACAGTTTAGGACATCAGTTTACAACTAAGTTTTAAGTGTGATAAACAACATATGCGCGTTTCGCGAGTTATCTCTGTGTTCAAATTTATTATTAAAATGCTAATATTTTGTGAACAAGGCTGCTCATTACCTTGATAAAGTAAACTGCAATGTTTAAGACATTTTGGCATTCTAATGAATTTAGACATGGAGATAATCTGGAGATCTGGTAAATATAATATATTATGCTCGTACCACTTGCCACTGTTCGACAGTTTTTGTTGCCCCTTGAACATAATTTAATTTTGCAGCTAGTTCAGCCCATTTTTTTGTGTCTCTTGTTTTCCATGTAAAGAACTGTATTTTCCTTCAGCAAGACCTTTATTTAAAATTAAAATAGATAACCTTTATTTAAGTGAAAGTACTTTATCTTTATATTTATCTTAATACTATACCTTTATTTAAATAAAAAAAATCCAACATTTTGGTATATTGCAGTTGTGTTGTCCGAGAACTTCGTGTTTTCTTGTTATAAAAGTATAAAGTATAATAAACAATTATTGTATGTTTTCTTCTTGTGAAAAAATATGTAATATTGGATTAGTGAAAAAACTATTAGAACAAATGCAATATTAGATTCTCTCTTAAACGGTTTTCTAATTATTTCCAATCGATTTTTCACGAGTCCAATAATATTCTTCCATAAGGAATAATTTGTCATTTTTATTTTTTATCTAAGATCTATCTTGAATAAATACACTGTCCTGTTTTGAGCCATGTGCTTTTTTTTTTAAATAAAAATTTAAAATAATGAAATTTTATGCAGTTGTGACAGGCACGTGGCATTTAACAAATTCAGTGAATATACATGAAAATTAAAGCCATAAACTTATTTGAATAAAGATGTCAAATTTCAGATTTATTTTTGTTCGCGTTCGTAAATTCCACTACAAGTTACTAGATATTTACTGATGGAAAAACTGCAAAGGCTGCATTCAGGGATTATGATTCCATAACTGTCTTTACACGCTTATCAATAGTTATCGGTATCGTTGCATAGATATTTTATATGATAAAAGAAGCTGCCTTATATGATAAAAAAATAACGATACCGACAGTCGGTGGCGGTAAAACAGTTACGGAATCGCGTCCCAGATAATTTTAAATAGCTCCCGTATGTGATGTTGCAAGCGTTAGTTGCGGCGCTCGAGTCAGTTCTTTTTTCTGGGTTTCTCTCTCTCTCTCTCTCTCTCTCTCTCTCTCTCTCGCGGGAGTTTGCGTCCTTGTGAATACTGAAATAATTAAAAGTTAAAAACTGATAATATTGTACTAATTTTATTAGTTTAGATGTATTTATGCATTTAGAACTCAATTCGTCAACTTTAACGCTTAATATTTCGGTTCGCGGGGCAGAGCGACACTTTTCTGCCAGATTCTTTCATTTCAAAAACGCATCGAATAAGCCTAATTTTATTGATCTTTGAGGTGAGAACTCCCTAAACTATATAATTACCTTTTTTTGTTTTTCTAGATTTTTATTATTTTCATCAAACCTATTTAAAGAAAAGTTTATAGTAAATGTTCAACTTACCGATTGTCATTAACGTTGTCATAAAATGACAATTTAGGCTCGAAATGTCAAATTTAAAGGATATAATAAGTCAACTCTGTAGGTGACGCGTTTTACTAGAATACGTAATTAATGAACGGAAATTGTAACCGAGAGTAATGAGGCGTGACGAAAATAAGAACGAGATTGAAACAGATACAGACGATGACGAATTATTTAGTGAAAGTGATGAAACCATTTCGACCAGAAATATCAGTACTTCTTCGGCTGAACTATTTTTCGAATGGCTACCAAAGAAATATTTCAAATTCTTCTTCTTATTGATTAACAGCATAATCCTCGTGAGTATTAGTAAATGGATAGAGAAGTTTAGCACATACAATTTATAGGTTTGGATATAAGAATGATTTAATTTCAAAGTTTATTTAAGCTCACAGGTGTAATGGCGATAATAATAGCTATCTGGATGTTGACTGATGCAAACTTTACATCTAGACTGCTCAGCCAAGAACTTTTCATAATTATTTTATTAATTCTAGGAGTGTATGTGTCTCTTGTAGCTTTTACTGGAATTATAGGAATGATAAAGGAAAAAGATAATATCATGCTTTGTGTAAGTTGAATTAATAAAGCAAAAAAGAAATCTTTTGAAAACGCAATTTATGATTAAAAATATGTATTATATCAGCCTGCTTGGAAATTCAAACAGAAAATGGGCAATTTGAGAATAGTCTGTCTTTTAATGCCGCGTATTTTATCTTTTAGTACTTAATATGCCAATCGATCGCTCTCTGTGCTATATTTATATGTCTGACAATGAGTTTTCCGTTTTTCGATTTGATTGCGAAAAAGATTCGAAATGACATGGTCTACTCTATGGAGTATTATCAACATTTAGAATCGGCTATGATAGGATTTGATAATACTCATAAATATGTAAGAATTTTATAAGCATTATATTTTTCAATTGTAATCTTTGCATATTTTACTACCAATGATACGTTTCAGTTAAAATGCTGTGGAATTAAATCACCCAAAGACTGGTTAGATCATCACATGAGTATTCCGCAAAGTTGCTGTTCTGATGTTCAATTTGAAGAAGTAAAAAGAATCTTACAATACAAAAATAAATTATTCTTAGAAAAGATAAATATCTAAAAAATAAAAATTAAAAATCTAAAAAACTTTAAAATAAATAATAAGTCTTTAAATAATATCTGTAATTAATTATATGAAAGAAAAATCAGAATATTATATACATTATTGAATATAATGTTAAATTCACGATTTGGAAAATTATTATACTTTACAAGTTACTTATAAGTTACTTTTTATTATAAAGTTGAATACAATAAGTTCAGATATTTTATTTTTTATATTATATTTTATCATTTGCTCTAATTTTATATTATTTTTTGTACTCAATTTCTATAACAAATACATATAAGATAATCTAAAAATAACTTATATGTAACTTAAAATAACTTTTTCCAACCCTGATTAAATTAAATAAAAATCTTAAAGTCCTGAAATACAATAGATGTAGTAAATTTAAAATCATAGTCGATTATTCTTCTCATTTAATTGTTTTAGGAATTATACTTTAAATAAAATTATAGGGAATATATTAAAATAGCTTTCTAAAGTTAAAAGCTATGTCCGGTCTTAGTCATAGAAGATTGCGCCGGTCACGTCTTGATCCATTTTCTGCCAGGTAGTACTTTCTTTTTCATGCCGAGAGAAATGAGTTAGTTGCGTTCACGCGCAGCGTACATCCGGTCGCGCCTAATAATATCCGGATCCCTTTACTCTTCTCGGGGATTTTCTCTTTTTCCTGTTTCTCAGTCACGACGGTTTGTCATAATTTTTAGCCGATCAACTGCATCCTGGAATAAACTACTTCATCAGTAGATATATAAATTCCCAAACAAATCGATATACTTGCGCTAAAATAGTTAGACAAATCAATAAACTATCGTATTTACTCGATGATTGTATAATTATGATTACTGAATATATTAATTCATTTTATTCGTATTAGCAATTTAATTTACTAAATAAATATATTATTATTATATATCCAATATCAAGTATAGCAAATTTATTTGAAACAGATACAACCACCAATTTAGCCGTCAATTTAGAAATAAGTAGCAATTGACACAACATTCGAATATGAAATACCTGTTTGAAAGTTATACGAGCGTTAAAGAATTGCTTTAATTTATGTTTTAATAATAAAATACTTGATTTGTTTGCGCAATTTTCAGTGCATGAAACAGATGAGAGAGGAGGTGTCTTATAAATCTGGATGCTTAAAAGGAAGTTACATGGTAGTAAAATCGTACATTCAGTCTGCCGCTATTTCAATGCTTGTCATATTTCCACTTATGGTAAATCAATACTTATTACTTTCTTGCCTGCGTGGTATATTTGCTTGTCTTCTCATTTAATAAATAAGAAAAAGAAAAACTATTCACATTTCAGTTAATCGGCGCGCTTTTAGCGTTTGATTTACGAAAAAGACTGAGGAAGAGACTAATAACGGAATTAATAACGGAAGAAGTGATATATTCATGAAGATATTGAGGGTGAACGTGACTTAGAAGTGAATGACAAGTCCGGTGAAACGTTTTCCCGTTTTTTATTATCATATATAGATCATATATTTTCTGAAAACACTTAATATATTGTACTTAAGATAGTAATATTGTAAGTTTATTGGACATGCTGGTTGGATCGCCGTCTGCCGTGTGGCAGTGGTTCAAGTGGAAAAGTCCGTAAATTATTCACTTCCGGCGCTTCTACGATGATCATCGAATCAGGATGTGTTTTCAACACGCGGGGGAGAAGGGGAAGGCGAAAAAATACATTTATAAAAATTGCTCGTGACCATCGTAATGTTCTCGTTTACGGAAAGGTTCAAATGGTAGAGGGAGGGGAGTGTCTGATCGAATGGCGGAGGGGGGATGAGTTCTTCCTTTTTTCTTCTTTTCTCTACGATAAAATAGAGCGTCTTACGTGAAATCGATTGCCTGTCGATGCGATACGAAATATTGACGTAGTGATAATTTAACGCGCGCGCGATGCACCTGTCTTTTTCTCTCCATTAATCTTCTCGTCTAAATTATCGCTAAATGGCTGCGGCAGTCGACACCGCGTTTATATATAGCGTATGTGCGTGTGTATGCTATGTCCATGTGTTACGCTTTATATATATATATATATATAT